CTTTTTTAAGAAAAAATGTAAAAATAAAGCTATGAATATATTGTTTTATATTTAAAATGGTTTCTTAAACTTTTCATTTAGATTAATTTATAACAAGACCATTTTTTTATCAAATAAATTTACGTACATTTTACGTACATTACGTACATTTTATTTTATTTTCACCTACATAATTTCAAAATTTTCTAATTCAAACGCTGCGCAATTCTTGTGCTCCTGTTTTACGAATTTGAAATGAGACTTTGTTATTTAACAAATGACAATATAATAATTCGATAGAATGTAATTTTAATCTCAGTTTCTCTGACACGATTAAGAGAAAGTAAGAAATACCTAGTCCAATACTATTTTATTTTACTTTATTATTTTATCATTTCCTGATGTTATCGATATTTTAATGTAGACACACCCGTGAATGATTACGCGAAGAACTTGCCGCAAGGAGGACACAAAACAGAGAAACAAACTTCACTAATAATCTCTTAGAAATAAAAACTTTAGCTTCGATCAACGGATGTCTACAATATAATCTAACTCTCCATCTTACGGTACTTGGCGAAGTCGTACGATGTTCTAGTCCGTTTAACTTGAAATTTTGAAACAGCGACTAGATTTCATTCCCAGATTCGTCTACGTCAACGCTGTTTCTCGGTCCGATTTTCCGAGTTTACGTTCTTTATACGACATTCAGGAATATATTCTCCGGGAAAGCGAGCAACGAATGAGAAACTACGAAAGAGCACTGGACCATGATAGAGTGGACCGCGATGTTGGACTGTCAAGCTCCAACGATCATCGGCCCACAAGAGAGGACCCGCTCGAGCGGATCATCGCTTCGATACAGTAATGAGGGATTTCGCTGGGTTTAGCGGGACAAAGATGCGCTCGATTCGGTAGGCATCGTCCGGCATCGAACGGCGTCTTGAACGTCGCGGGAAATAAGCGGATATCGTAAATCTGTCATCAAACATGCTTGTTAACCGATCAGATCAGCTCGATCCGATTTCTCGTTCGACGCGGGCAGAATCGTCGATGAATCAATACTTGCGCATTTTGTGCGCGTGCAACATTTGTGCGTGCTTCAATTATTATATCGTATGACAAAGATTACATATGTATAAAGAAAGTATTTTTTTCTTCATTCACTTTAATGTTTTATGAGACATCATGCATAATTTATATATATTGCCAAAAAATATTAAATGAATTTGTTTTTCCTATGGAACACTTATAAATGAAAATTAATATAATCAATGTAAAAAAAATTAGTACAACTTTTTCCAATATTTTGAGCAAATTAAGTAAATAATTTTTAAGATGTAAAAAATACAAGCAAAAATAAATGAAATAAAAAAAAGACAAGAATATTTGGAAAATTTAAAAGATTAAAAATTTAAAATATTACGTAACATCTATATAACATAATAAATGTATAAAAATCAATCGTATATCGTATAAAGTCTACATACTTGATTTTAACGAAAATTTCTGGGAATTAAAAAATTCTACGAGTCGCGCTTTCGCTTCTACGAATACTAACGAAATTGCACGCACGCATATGCGTTTCGTGCCCTTTTCGCGGGGAAAATGTCACGAGAGAGCGATATATATATTCGCTTCGCACATACAGCGAGAGTTAAAACGGAAAATAGACCAAGACTACAATTTCCATCAGTGCCCGGCCGATCGCAATGATATTATGCAATTAGTACAAGCGGCGAAAAATTTGAAGTGCGATCGCCAGAGTAGCGTTGATTCTCTCTAGAGAGAGCCAATGCTTACTTGCAATATATTCTGAGTAGCCACTTCAATATTGTTAACATTGCTATAATTGACAAAAACTCATACATGAGAATATCAATTACCATTAAACTAATATCAATGCGCTTAAATATATACGTAAGATATATAATTTATCGTAGTTTATATTATATACATTAATCTTTTTTTTTTTATATTTTATATAGTGTATTATATTTTCTTATATTTTATACATAATAGTTTACGTTGTAGTTATATATACAAATTCCTCTTTTATATTACACACACACATATGTGTGTATAAATTTATCATCTGAATTGTAACTGATATTCTAAAATTAATTAATCCGTAATTAATTACGTTTTCTCTGAATGGTCCAGTGCTTGCGATAATTTTATAATTTATTCTTAATATATTAAATCTTGATAAATATGTTGAATTCCAATCTTTCATATGGATATCAATAATTGGTCTGTATTGTGTCTTATTCTAGCGAGACTGACCGCGTGGCTTAATAAATGCGTTGGTCGCACCAGGCGGCAGTACCGTTTAACTCGCACACATGTAATAGATTATTTTGTAAAGAGACGTAATATTACGGTATGCGCAAAAGTTTCAAGGTAAACATATGCTACACTTCAAGCTTCTAACAAGGTATTGTTATATGACAGAGTACTTTCTGCGAGTCTTATACTTGACAAACACTTAAAATAATGCTACATTTTTTAATTTAAATATTATCAATAAATATTATAATTTTTTGTTAATATTTCTATTCATTAGAAAGTTATATTGTATAATTATTTATACACACAATATAATAAACATTAAAATAATTATTATTTAAATTTATAATTATTATAAATTTAAATAAATAATAGTAATGCATAATCAATTACACAACGTCTTATACACAAAGTTGCACGATTCAATAAAACAAAATGAGAAAAAAAATAATCCTAGTTCTTTTATATTTGATATGGTTTCGGTTTCACACACAGTAATGTTTCATTGCTATCATAGTTTTGAAAAAAAGTTAAAGACCTATTTTTAATGTAATTTTTCATGCTACAGCTGTGGTATGTTCTGTGGCGTGTCCAAAAGTTTTGCTTTACGTTTAAAATCAAGCGTAAAAACAATTCCAACAATTATTTCGCAGAAAAGTGTATTTTATATAAATATATTATATATGAGAAAGAAAGAAAGAAAGAGAGATACATATCTCTGAATTTCCGCACGCGCGAATTGTTCGAAAGCAGGTTACGGGGCTAGCAGTTGGCGGTGAATAAAGTAAACAAAAAAAAGGTAGAAGAATAAAATAGGATCCTTATTCTGCGGACGATGAAACCTCGAGCGTGGAAGACGCCGCCTGAATTTCAACTCGATGACTACCGCTCGTTCCGTTTACAAACAGCCGGAAGGTGGAGTGGATCGAAAGCACGGGTCAGTGTGAATGTTCCCGTTTCGCGAAACTTTTTTTTTGAGAGGATGGCAAGGTCAAGGTTCGCCATTCCCAAAAAAATCTACGTACTCGTAAGAGCAAAAGATATCCGAAATTTAATCAAGTTCACAATATCATAAAAATCGACAAGACACAATAGAAATTTACAAATCACAGGAAGCAAATTCACAAATTGACGTTTCTACAACTGTGAAAAAACAATGTAGGAAGTTTACATTTTACGATGGCAAATCTGTATAATTTTATATAGAATGTCCAATAAAAAAAATTTTATTACGATACAAGCACTGAGATAATCCCTCGTGAGGAAACGAGTAAAACTATCGAACAAGATTTTTCCATTAGTTGCGCTGCTTTCGAAAAAAAAATTATTTTATATATATATATATATATATATATATATATATATATATATCTACAATAAAAAAATAACATAATACTCTCAAAGATAAAATCTTTTTTAAATCTAAAAGAATATTACTTGTTTTTTGTAAATTTTTATACTGAAAACAATTTTTGCTTCTAAACTACTCTATCGTACATCACACGATTAAAAATGTTTAAAAAAGGCTACATATCATGTTACAAATATAATATGTAGATGTAAAAGTTTTTTATTCCATTTAAAATTAAATATATTCTTGGAATTTTCAAATCTCAAGAAAAATTTGTTGTAAAAATTTAAGTTAATAAAATTTGTATAATTAATTGTATTTAATTGTATTTATTGCAAGAAAGTTAAAACTGTTTCATTTTCATTATAAAAACCATGGACAATCAAATATTATTCAACTGTTTATTTAAACATAAGTGCTTTTTAGATCGCTGAACGCGCGCAAATCTAATATAAACATAATGTTCAAAGAAAATCTATATGATGTGAGTATAGAAATAAATAATTTTTGTAGATATCATAGAGATTTTCAGATTCTGATTATATGAAACTTACAATAAAATTGTCGATGTGAAAATCATAATAATAAATAATTATAATTTTTTTGCCATGTAATAAACTCAACATTTAGTTACAAGAAAATCTTATTAATTTTCATCTTCTCAAATTTCTTTTAAGCATTGAAATTTTTAATAATATGCTTAATTTTGCTGTAATAAAATTTTTCTACATTTGTTACATATCCTTTTATGATAAATTACATTATAAAAAATAGTTTTCTAGTTTTTAGCTTCATATTTTTCAAAATACTTTTACAATATAATTAATAAAATCATCTTTTTTAGAATATTTTTTTAAACTATTTCATAATTTTTGAAAATAATATTATAATATAAATATATTTCCATATGATCACGATTTTCACACAGTGCATGTGTATTTGAATATGCAAAATTTAAAAAAATATAGCAATTGGATTTATAACTACTAGATTCATCATATTAAATAAAAAACTATATAAAATCTCATCTTTCCATAAAAATAAACTTGTATATTTATACATATAATATAATCATTTACTTATATTAGATTTATAAATCCAATTACTATTTTTTCAAATGCAATATATTCAAATACACATGCAGTGTATATGTGCATAAAATGTATAAAAATTATATACAAAAATTTTCAATAGTAAAAATTATTCTCTCTCTTTCTCTTTCTTTCTTTCTTCTCTCTTCCTACATCTTTCTCTCTCTTCCCTTTGCAAGTTGCACGAGAGACACGTCGAGTTTCATATATCTTTATCTGTACCGCGACCGAGACAAATATCAAAATACTCGAGCCGCAGACAAACGTCATGACGAATCGACTTCGCTCACCGGTAATGCGTATCCACCGATGCGATATCCCAGACATGTTCCACGGTCGTCCCTCACCGCTACGATTGCGAACGCGATCGGGAATGCGTCGCGCGTCGCGCGCGATTCGCGATCCTCCGAGTTGAATGCACTCGGAGATTCTGCTCTCGCTCGGCCAATCGCTTCTACCACGCCGCTTCTTGCCGAGCCGATGGCCGACCGTACACTGAGCCGGCTGTACTTACCTGTCTGTGCTCACCTGGCTAGCGTAGATCCTGCTAGCGGCAGATGAGAGGATTCCCATTCCTTCCGGGTTCTGCGCGATCGCTCCGCTCGGCTCGTCTCTTCTCTTCTCTTCTCTTTTCTTCTCTTCTCTTCCCTTCTCTTCTCTTCTCGACGTTCCTCTCGATTGTTTCGCTCGTCACTCATCATTCGGCTTGTCATGCTTCAACACTTATTGTTAATAAGTCATCTGGCGGTCTTTGTAGCTGATTCTCAGTATAACAGTTTATCTTCTCGAGTACTTTTACATATCCGATGCTTCAGCTCCTCTAATAAATATATACTCAAGAGTGTCGTAATTTAAAACTCTATTAAATTAAAATACCATGTTGACACAGAAACGGGAGTTGGCAATATTTTCTCGCAAGATTCAATTTTGTCTGAAAAAAGAAAAAGAAACTTTATATTAATTGGAATCAATGATTCGAAGCTTGACATTTCATCGAGGAAAAATTCATTCCAACTGAACCGAAGAGTATAAAAAAAAGGAACATTTCGAGAGAGAGATATATAAAGCGAACTTGCCAGGTTAAACTAGACGTGATCAAACGAGATAAAATCATATATATACGTCAAAAACCGCTACCAAATTAAAAATGGAGACTGTCGCACCGATGTAAATGTCCAAAGTAGGCGAAAGCGAAAGGGATTGACTAGTCGTATCTTTTTACACGACTCGCGTTAAAGGGTAAGAAAAGCGAGAAAACGCATGACGAGGCACGGCGACTAGTTCTGTCGCGCAAAAATTGGGCGAACGCGTTTCATTTTCGATGTATATATATATATATATATATATTGTCTACAGCGACTCGAAAAACGAGTTCACAAACTATGTAACACGCCGGCCTTGCACGCTCACGCATTTCCATGCGAAACGCGTAACCGCATATCAGTAATCAGAGATAAACACGATAGGTAAGAAACCGTAATATATGAAAAATTCTCGATGCTAATGACAAGTCACGTTTAAAATGAATCGGTTTAACGGTAAATTTCTCAAATTGTTACGCTCGCGAAATATTACGAGTACAGGTCGAAAAGAGCTAGCAAGTTTTTTCAAATTTTCTTACAATTAATGTCTACGTTACATCATAATCCGTAGATTTAGCAATGTCTTCATATCAAAACAATTTTCCAAAAAATAAAACTGTTACATTGCAGCAATGTTGCAGCAATATTGCTGCAATGTGCTGTATGGGAAATAATTTAATACACAATTTAATACACATTTCGATACACAAAACTCGCTTTTCTTTTTGCAAATAAATCGAATCTCTTATTAGATTGATACATAAAGCTTATTATTCTATTTAAGTCTAAATACATTCCTCTCTCCGGTACTTACAATGCTACGGATCGCGATGAAAATAATAAAATTTGCACAATGCAATAATAAGCCGGATCAGTTCTCTTCATTTGCCGGTGAAAGTATCGAAGGTCGACTACAACGAGACGAAATGTAACGAAACACACACGGAATGATTGACTTAGGAATCCCGCGCCTTATTCTTGTCACCCGTAGCGTAGAATAACAATGCGACTTTTACGTGGAAACGAGGTTGAAGAAAACAGAATGTGTGCAAGTTGATAGTATCGAGAGAAACAATGCCACGCTGAACTTTTTCTCGCGCAGTATTTATCTTTCCGAACTAATTAAACGAGCTATCTTTAACTATAGCTATCTTTAACTATAGCTATATGAAGCTTATCGAAGATCGTTAGATAAGTTAAATGTTTGCTGCTTTTATATATATATATCGATTTTACAATGCGATTGCAAAAAATATTAAAAGATTCATCCAAACATGATATTTAAACTGGCATTAAAAAAATATATTTATTTTCATTTCTTTATATATAAATTAGAGATGATTACTTTAACTTAATTTAATTTAATTTAAATTCTTCAACTTTTGTACATATATAAACTTATACCCACAATATAAAATGACTGCGAAAAGAGACTAGAATACTCTTTTTAATTTCTTTTTCTCTTTTTCTTAACAGGAAAATTTAAAAAAATCGCACGAAACTATTAATATCAAATAATAAAGTTTATATAAATGTATTGACATAGAATAATAAATGTGTGTATTATATATAAAGTCACACACACACACACTCATTTAATACTGATATTGATTTAATATTATATAAAAAATATGATAAAATTAAAGCAAACTTAAAGATATAAAAAATGACTGTGTATAAACATCGATATCATCGATATTATTTTATTATTTATAATTACTTTCGTTGTTTTTCACAATTTTTTAATTATGTAAATATTGCTTATACACAGAGAAAAATATCATTCTACTGCCAAGAAAAGCGATTACTCAGTTTATTTTTCTCAGTTTATTTTTCTTTTTTTAAGTAATAGTTTTCTTCAATAAAGAATATATTCTTGATAATAGTCTTAAAATATACTCATCATAAGTGTTAGAAAATCTCATTATCATGTACTCAAAAGAAGAATTTATTTTCTTCAAGAATATTGTAAAAAAAAATCAAACTTATTTTACATCAACTCTTGTAGTAAGCAAACCAAATTTTTGTTTTAATTTAATATTCTTGACTAAAATACTGTACTTACTAAAATTCAGAATATATTCAATTAAATTTAATGCTTGTGATAAACTTATATATTTGCGGATATACAAACTTATGATATACTTAAAATAAATAATATTTTCTTGACAGTATACATTTTTCTCTGTGTATATACATTTATGCAAATATAAGATTAACATAACAAAAGTGCTACGTTTTGTGGCGGTACATATCTTTTATTCCGGTATTTAACAGGACAGCAACCGTCAGACATTTGTCACATAATCAGCATTGCGAAATTACACTTTCTCATATAAGAATTTCGAATATCATCCGCTAAGATTTAGCTTTTTTCTCGTTTCTTATTATCACTTACGACACTTGCTGAGAGAACGTTCATATTCGCGATTCAATTTTTTCAAGTCACGTGACTTTTTCTTGTAATCCTCTGTTAATAAGTTCGATGAGATTTCTTCTCTTATCGTCTGTTGTAAAGTAGAATCGCGTCAAGTGTTACGATCGTTTTCCCCTCTTTACAATCTGATAAATGTTAAATCCAATGTCCTTCTTATCTACTCGTTTTACTGATTAGATTATTTCTTATCATTAAACTACCAAACAGCGCAATAAAACAAAATTTCTGAAAACAAACAAGGCGGGAGTAGGGAGATCAGATGATCAAATGACAGTATGTGTTTACGAACGCTCGATAAGTTTGACGGAGAATGGGGGTTTACCGGTAAACGTGCGTCATTTTACGCCATAACGTGGAACGTGGTAGCTTTCGCAAATGCTAGGACAGGAGTATCTCTCGAATAATTCGCGGAGAAACTCGAGCTCATACATTTATTTATCTGAATGTGTTTCGCGGACATAAACATATATAAATACGAAATGTAAGGTCACCTAACATCACCTCGCGTCCGCGTGAATGCATTTGACAGATCGTGTAAGATTTGTGAAGAAAATTTGTAAGGTTTACAGTGCAAAAAATACGCATCTCGTTCCGGCATTGATCGCATGATGAACGAGAATCTGGAAAAGGTTACCCCGGAGTCATTTTGTGCGCTCTTAGTTGCCTTTGAAACCATGAAGGAACGTTGCCAGCGACTACAGACGCGTCTGGCAGTTGTAGAAAAGGAGAACATACGTCTCAAGTGTGGCAGAGATGCAGCTTTGAAAACTGATAACAGCAGCGAGTCTACGCTACAGGTTTGTGCAAAATTAGCTTTAAACACAACACAAGACTTTACGTCTTTAAACTCATATTTAATAATAGATGGAGACATAGATAAATCGAAATAAAAATATTTTATAATTTTGTAAGGTATAATCTCCATTTTTTTTAAATGGATTTACAATGATTTGAAGTTTTTTTGCCAAGCAATCTATATCTCGTTGCCTTTCCTACTTTTTTTATCTATATAATTGATACAATAAAATTGTAAACTGCGATATTGCTAAAAATAAATATATGTACAATGAGAAAATAATTTAAAATATATGTTTAAATATATTTTGCAATTTGCAACTTTAATATTCACAAGTGTAATGATATAATTTTTTTGGGTCATAGGAAAAGATTGAGGAACTTACAAAGCAAAAGTCTCAGTTATCTGATCATGTGTTCATGGTAGCGGCAGAAAATCGTCAACTATGGAACAGATTAACAAGATTGACAAAGACTAATAAATCTCTAGGTAGTCAGTTGAATAAAATCTCTGATACACTTAAGCAACATCCCGCTACACAGTCACCTGACATTACATCGTACAACTTTTGTGATGTGTTTAATTCAGATAAATCAGGTACTAATAAGAAATATTTATTAACTACAGATGATTTGTATAAATATTGAATTCTATCATATTTAATCCTTATGTAATTCACGATTTATATGATAAATTTTATTGTATAGGTGAAAAGGAAAGTTTGGAAGAAATATCCCTGCGACTGATAAATAGTATTATGTTAGAGAAATCTAATCTTGAACAACAATATGCCGAGGTAAAAAAATAAAAATATTGCAATCAAATATATTTTATGCAATGTTTGTCATTTTGTACAGATGGTGGAGTTACAAAATAACTCAGAATTAAATTTACAAAAAATCGGTTTTACGTATCCAGAAGATTCTGATACAGATTCATTGGAACAATTGAAACAGGTTGAAATTCGGTTGTCCCAAACTAAAGATGCCTTACTGGGGCAGCAAACTAGATTAAAAAGGACCCTGCAGAACCTTAAAAAAATTAGAAGAGGTAAGATTTAAATTAATTCAGTATTATAATCCACCTCATTATAAAGAAATAAATATAATTATAATTTTTTATTACTAATTATCTCTCGCTTTTTTATTATTGTGACATTAATTCATAAGAAAAAATAATTTATAAATTTTTCAAAATTTAATTCTTAGACAAATATATATATTTTTAGGTACAACATGTAATGACTGTCGAGAAAATGCAAAGAAGAAAATGTGTCAAATAGGTACACAATTTGATTCCAATGATACTTTCAAGGAACATGGAGCTACTCAAACTAGTCTTATTACGTCCAGTGTTTCTATAGAAAAATATTCTAATTTAAACGATAATATAGACGCAGATACTAATACATGTCCATTATGTGGTATTGTTTATGGAAAATCCAAATCATTTACAGAATTTCATGAACATGTTTTAAGTCATTTTACTAAGGAAATACCTACAGACGAATTTAAGCTTGTACATTGATTTTAGTATCTAAATCAACATTAATTCATTAGTAGTAAAAATTCGTCCTTCAGGTTCGTGTATAAAACAAAAATTAGACATGATATAAAATAGGCAAAATATACATACATGCAAAAATGTAATATAGAAAATGGTGAAACAAAAGATAGCTATTGCAATATAGAGATATATTTATTTTTGTATCAATAATTGCGATCGCGTAAATTGTAAATTAAAATCTATTTTTCATTAAATGAGAAATAGTTATTAATAAAAAAAATATGAATATTTACAAAATAAAAACACCATAGCATATATGATTCCTTTTTTTGTATCAATGTAATTTATTATTCAACAAAACATTACAAAATAAAAGATTCTCTAATTTTCCAAATATATTCAATTTTTTTATATTCAATTTCCGAATATATTCTATTTTGATGAGAATATTTTGACTTTCTGGTAAAAGATTAAAGTACATACCTTATGCAAGATGTGTAGGTTTAACATCTTTTTTATTCGATGGCTTTTGTGTCGTAGGCTCAAGTAAGTTTCGATGAAACCATGAAGGTCTTTTTTTCGGCATTTCTATTACTCTTTGGTTCTAAATTAAAGACAAATCCATTAACATAAAATTATATATCATATAAATATATTTTTAATACCTTCCAGAATTGATATGTTTTATCATCCTTTTCTCCATCATATAATACAATTACATTTTTTTCTACTGGCTGTAGACTCAATTCTTTTTGTATGGCTTTCTGTATTTCCTTGGTTTCAAGCTTCACCTTTTCATAACAGTGTCCTGTAACAAAAAAATATATCTTAGCGAGTATTTTCTTTAATTCACAAATATTGCTTTCCAATTATAACTTTCATTAAACATACTCAAAGATCTAAATTGCTTTTTAATTTTGTTATAATTTGTATTATTACAATTATTACTGTTTTATAGCAATAAGATTTACCACACAAACGGCCAGCTTCATAATTGTGACCACAATTTACACATATTAATAGATCAGTTTTTGGAACAGGTGGCTTCCAGAAGTATTTTTCAACTCCAAATCTTCTGCTTAATCTCTTTTCTTTAGTACGTCGCTTTTTTGGAACAGCCCAAAGAATTCCATTCTTGAGAATTTCTTCTAGAGATCGATTACCAAAATGATTAGATAGTTTTGATTCATTCGAGAAACTGCCGCAATCAATTGCACATAATCCTGTGTAAAAAATTTGAAAGTTCAAGAAAATTCAATGTTATAAAGATGTAGTTAAATTAATTTTATTTAAATTTTTAAATTGCCTATATACATGAGAAAAGCTGATAATTTAAAAAGAAATTTTTTAAGGAGGTTAAAAAACATGACAAGTTTAAATATTAGATAACTTCAAATTGTTTATATCAACTTTTCACATTTGATTCAGAGCATACATTTATAATATATAAAAACTTTGGATTATACCTGGAGGAAAGCCGCGACCAAAAATTGTTTGAAAAATTGTCTGCTCAAATCTTTGAAAAACCGAACATAACCTGTTTATTAAGCCGCTTGCCATTTTAAGTTTGATATATATACCAAACGTTGCAAAAAGATGTTCGGTGTAAATACAATCGGAGAATGAATAATAATTATTTGTAAATAGAGAGCGTACACCTTTACAAATGTCAAATCAAAAATCCGTCTTTCGAAAACAGATCACACGATTCAACATTCAACTTGCCTTCACGTGTGAAGTTGAGCACTCTCAGATAAAGATAGAGCGCGTTCTATCTTTCTATCTAGAGATATTTCATGATGCTTCATGATTGTTTTATTGAAGAAAATTCAAAATTGTTTCTTTCTCAATTAATATGATATATTAATATTAATATTAATATTATTAATATTATAATATATTATATTATTATTATTATTGTTAATATTATTATTATTAATATTATCATATCATTATTAATATTAATATATTATTTATTTTTAAAACTTAATATAATTGTTCAAATCAAACATAATATGTACGCGCAACGCGCTATTTATTTTTTTCTATTATTAAAAAGGAATTAGAAAATGTAAATTTGTCTCATATATATATATATATATATATATATATATATATAATACATTTCATTTTCTAATTAATTAATTATATATTTGATTTAAATATTGATTGATTTAGAAAAATACATACATTCAAAACAAATGTTTTTATAGGAAAATATACGAAATGTTTATTCCGAGCGCGTATGCGCCTTAGGGTGTACTCGGAAGTGACATACGTAGGTTCGTTTAAAGAGTCGTCCAAAGATGGCGCGCTCGAAGGTTTCGAACGAGTGGGGTAGAGGGCGTAGTTTGTCGAAGTGCGTTGGTGGGATCGGAGCGGGTGATCAACTCGGACTGCTCAGGCAGCGACGGAGTCCGCTCACTATAGTTTCCACTATGGCAAGTATAGGATCGGGTAGACTTTGTGCTCACGCGGAGAAACTGTGCCAGTATGGACATTTCACCCAATTACGGAGGAAAGTTTCGACGACGACATGTGCGAAATCCCGACCGGCTGTCTCGCGAACGAGCGGCGCGCTCTTCCAGCACTGCCAGGTATGTTTCTTTCTCGTCTGCGAACTTTGCCCAAATACGCTTCAAATTGTCCAGCGTTCCCCCCAAAATGCATCTCCCCGATAACCGACGACCCGTTGGGCACGATACGATCGAAAAACCTCGCTGTTCCATTCAATTTTCGTGCAATTTTCCTGTTTCTTTTCGAGACTTCGCCGACATAACCTACACTCACAAGTGACAGATTCGAGTTCGCGAGATCGCTAAACATTGAGGCGTAGAATTGGAACGATTGTTGAAGTATTTCGATAGTTGAATATTCGATTCGAAATGAGTACTTTCGAGTGATTGTCTTTCTCAAGAACATTATATAAATTACATAACACGTGATTCGAGTGATAAATTTTCCTTATCTATCTTTCCAAATTATGTGTACTTGTCTTTGACAACAAAGTGCCAAGACATTGTTTACATCTAGAATATGTGTATATAGGTGGAATAATGTGACTTTCGAAGAACATTGAAAATAACATGACTTTATTTTCTTACTTGTCAGTCGATTCTAGCAGACGTTGTATAGATCGTCTGCTAGTGACGTTTCACAATGTCAAATGAATGATGGTTTTATTGTGAATATGTCATTCAAAGAAATAATTGAGCGTACATAATAATTATAATTCATGTTGGTATTAAAATTTTCATAATAAAAGATTGAATCATCAAACGAATAGAATATTATATTGTTTTTAGAGATTGTATTGACGATGCAAGCGGATTCACGTTGTCTTCCATACGCATGCGCGTGTAGCATTTAAATGCTTTAACCTGCACATGGCATATTATTCGATAAAATGTTGTTCGAGTTTTATACTTATGCGGTAAAAAATGATATTTTTGAAAATATTATAGGACGAATATACAAATAATCAATTCAATAAAAATCTAATTAACATAAAATTATGATAAACTAGAAAAAGGCATAAATAGTGTAAAGGCATAAAAAGTGATATTAAAAAAATTCTAGAGAAACGGAAAATTAATTATTATATATATATATATATATATATATATATATAATATATATTTATTATATATTTTTATCTAATATATATTATTAATATATATTTTATATTTAAAATTTATATATATATATATATATATATATATATATACGTATACAATGATTTTTTTATCAATAGAAAAACTGAATATACATATACATTTGCAATCGAATAAATAAGCAGACTTTATTTTCATAGAATATTAAAATATATATAATAATAAAGGAATATATAATTATATATATATATATATATATATATATATATATACATATATATAATTTTAAAAACTTAGTAGATAATACTAATCATCATAATTAAAAGAGTAAGACCATTTTTTATTTCATAATGATTTCAGTTTTTATGTCTTAAAGATTAATTAGCATGTATTGTACCTCAACAGGGGCACATTACATTCTACATTAATTGAAATTTCTAATTACTAGTTAACTTGTCATTAATTTTAACTTTATTAAAATTTAATGAATCTTATGAAATTAATTCGTACGTTAATTTTCTGAATTTGTCACATCTGAGATGGGTGCATTTACCGTGAAATGTGAAGATTAGTCATTAGCAAATTAGAAAATCTTAAAAGTACATATTGCGCGAATCATCCGATGCGTTCCCGAGAAACTACTGTTGAAATTTTCGAGCCGCGGCGTACGTGCGAAATCGCGACTTTCTCGGATCGAAAGTGTCATGGAAGAAGCATCGTTTTGAAATTCCGTCACAATAATTCACGTAAAATCAATCCAGGAACGGAGCTAATCGTATTATGCAAGACTATGGTAAATCGAGTCACCGGGTGCATCGAGCGAGCCAACGCGGCGTTTTCGTGCGGCGGATATTCGTGCCTTTTTTTTTCCCGCGAGCAAGACGCCGATACAACAGCGACGATCAATATTATTGAATCGCAACGGCGATCGGTCGAGACGAATTTCGAGCCGCGCTAGTGTAAGTAGGCTAACAGGCTTTGCGAGAGATACTTGTTGGAGCATGCCGGCACCGCGCTCTTGACTTTCTCGGCTTGACCAGCTATAGTGCGCGTCTCCACACCTGTTTTTACCGCGAGATATTCCGTGACTTTTACTTCTCTCGTGGAAGCGACACTTTCCGATCGAAAGCGAAAATCGCAGAAATCGAAACTTCTCATCACATCTCCACATTATTCACATATATTCTAAAAATATATGTCTAACATATGTATATGTATGTGTATCATATGTATGTATGTATATGTATCGGATCTTAATTGCGAAAACGTAAGAATTTCGATCAAGTCCACAATCAAGACTGCATTATATAAATATTTATTATATAAATTATTATTATATAAATACTTATATAAATACATTTATATATCACTTTTCTATTACGTGAATTCTAATATTTCAATTTATATTCATTTTTTTTTTAATGCAATTGTTTCGTTCTATTTTTTCTATCTTTATGATAATATATGTGGCACAGATTAAAGGAATCCTCCCTATTTGAAAAGATAAGATTTAAATATTTTTAAATAAATGCGCATTGTAATATAAAAAAAGAATAAAGAGATATCTTATATATGTTAATTATTATTTATATATATTTATTATTTAATATTATAAAATTTATAAAATTTTAAAGTTTTGAGGCTCATTTTATTTACAAATATTATTTTAGAAAGCAAAGGTAGAAAAAATATCTCGATAAGTGTATTGCAAAATATTCATGCAAGAAATAAAACAATCTCTGTTGTGTCATAAGATCAGTCAAATTCAAACGCGTTCTTGTATGTAATGAATAAAATTGACATCATTAATTACTCAATTTTTAATATTTGTCAATTATTAATATTTTTCAAAACTAACGACTAATTTGTCAAAATATCACGAGTTGCATGATATTTATGATATAAAATGAAATCCATTAATATAAATTCGAATTATATTATGTATCATATGATTTTCTTCAGTCTTCGAAAATAAATTAACAATTATTATTTATAACGGATAAATTGACATGTATACTTTTATAAGTGTATTATATAAATTATTTGTGTTTTGAAAATAATTTCAAATAGCAGCTTTTTCTTAAATTTATTTTAAAAGTTTATATTAAAATTGCAAACAACATGTGATACATTTGCGTAAATATGCCAAAATAAAAATTTAAGTCGTGCAACACCAATTCAGAAATTAAGTTAAATTCCTGTTCAACTACTAATGGTCTTGATATTTTTTTCCATTTAAGCTTCTTCTGAACAATAAGTTCAAAGAATCTTATATTTGAAATTTATATTATTTTTAATAATACATGCGATAAATTATCCGAGCTTCTAAAAATATTCGATATTACATATTACAATTATATAAGTTATTATTGATCATATTTCGATATAATTTATCAGATTTTGATTTGATAATGTTTATCTGATTTCATAATTAAATATTTTTTTCATATTTTGATCATTTTTATTTAACAATATTTTACATTTTGTAAAATGACGATTGTAAGAAATGATAAATAATAGAATTATTAAAACAGAATTTTAATTTAAGCGAGCAGCAAACAAAATATGATTGTCTACAAAAATTAATTTTTGTTCATTATTTCATTAATTACATATTTTTATTATACAAAGTGATTGACAGGAAAAGATAAATTTCAATAATTATTTTTATATATTTCAATAATTTATTTGTTTGATCTCAAAAACATGTGATTTTCGACCATAATTTTCGCAATAATCTATTTTATAATTTATCTAGTAATCAAATAATTATTAGCACCAATTGCAATAAAAATTTTTTCCTGATATTATGTAAAAAAGATTAAATAATGAAAAAATGAATTTATATGTTTATATTGAAAGGCAACGATATATTTACTTGACTTCATTTTAAAAGATGAAAATTGTTGCAATCTTTATCTCTTGAAGCAAACAACTGTATAAATAAATATTAAATTTGCTCTATATTGACTAAGTATATATTTCTTTAAATTTATGTTTATGTTACATAATTTTATTCGGTTGATTTCCACAAATTACACGATTTATTGCTATATTATTAAAATCGCTACTTTCTCGAAGCGGATCTATAAATAAAGTGATATTGAATGTTGCTGTGGCAATATTAATTAACATTTATACATATATTTAACATGTTTAAAAATATAATATCGCTATGTTATAGTGCTCTAACAGCACGGAAACAATTTGGGAGTTTCCATTATTTTAAGAATTAAAATCCAAATTACAAGATTTAGAAATCGTGAAAACTCTTTCTTTCAAATCTTTTCAAAGAAAGATTATATTTAATTACACACACACAAATTTCTTGAATAAATTGTAATTATTAATATTTATATATTTATACAATATTTTCCGGCGCACTCTGAATGACTGAAAACTGGGAAACATCTGTACACAATGCAGATTGGCAGAATCGCTTTCGTATATTCTGCAGCATAAAAACATTCCCTTTTCTTGTTATTAGCATAAATTTATCGTATGCGTTATACATTGTTTACAAAATCGCACGGTCAAAATTGTTGACAACACTGTGTTTGTACATGACACTTTCTAAATTACAACATAAAAAATATTTACAACAAATTTTTTCAAGTTGCAACATCATATACTATGTAAAGGTGAAAGTAAATGAAAAAAATTTCACCAACCGTATCTTGAATTTTTATACGTTATCTTACAACACACACACACATACACACTGAAAAGAATAATATAATGTGCTTTTTTTACATTTAAAAAAATTACACGCTTTTTAATAGTAATCAAATTTTTTCATAATAATTATAGCAGTTTTCTTTGCCATTATGTAATTTTGTGTTCGCGATTCCACGTTTTGTAATTCACCACACACACTGAAAAAAGTAATACAATGTGCTTTTTTTACATTTAACAAACTTATACGCTTATCAAAAGTAATCAATCTTTTTCGTAATAATTATAGCTGTTTTCTTTGCCATTAT